ACCGCCAGACGTGGGTTAGAAGCAGGGGGCTCTCGTTAATCAGGATAATTAAGCTCGTGGCCTTGCTCAGTCAACGGGAGACCCCACTAACCCTACGTGCCAAGCGCTGGTCCCCAGGCAGGCGGTGGCCCCTCCTTTCCCCCGGCTAACGAAACCTGCGCCCCGTCCCTTCGGAAGAGGAGGGCAGATGCCCTCACTAGTTGCTCGTAACGAAGCCAATTGGCGCACGCGAGGTGTTTGGAGAGGCCTCGCCGGGCTCTCTGCAGGACCGGGCTCTCTCCCCCACGCCCTGAGCGTTTCGGGTTGGCTTTAATCTTCCGCAGCCCCTTCCGAGCTGGAGCGGGCCGGGCTGGCAGGGTGGGCTCCCCGTGGAGCCGAGGGGCCCCTTCCCGGCAGAACTGGGATGAAGGGCAAGAGAAAAGGAAGGGTGGCCGTTAGGAGCCCGTCCGAGCTCGTGGCCCCCTCCTAGGGCACGGCGTCTCCGCAAACCAACCTCCTCGCCGCCGCCGCCTCCCTCGCGTCTTCAGCCCGGCCTTGCCGAGCGCCGGGCTGGTGGCAAAAGCGGGCGTCTCCACAAACCAACCTCCTCGCCGCCGCCGCCTCCCTCGCGTCTTCAGCCCGGCCTTGCCGAGCGCCGGGCTGGTGGCAAAAGCGTTGCTGTGACTCGGATTCGAACCGAGGTTGCTGCGGCCACAACGCAGAGTACTGACCACTATACGATCACAGCAGAAGTCCTGCCACACGCTGGGACCACGGGGAGGAGAGCGCCGGCACCGTCCCCCTCCCCTGGCACGGGCCACCCTGCACGGCCTGGTGAACAAAACCACGCTATTTTATTAAGGCGGCTACAAATGGCCGTGGATGTTGCTGCTGGGAGCCTCAGCAATCTGGAACGGGGCCCTAAATCGTTCAAAACTCTGGCAATGCCGGGATGGCACCTGGGGACCGAGGTGGCTGCAAAGGACAGTGCTGTCGAGGGTATACCGTGCCCTGGGGGCATCACACAGCGGGGGCGTCATGCTATAATACAGCAAATTTAGAGTTATAATAGTTTCAGCTAAGTCCAAGTTATACGAGAGGTGCGTAATTAAGTTACTTTATAGCATCGTAAGTGCGTGATACAAGAAGTTTGTGGCAATTCAGTTTAAAATACAACAAATTAGATTGGATGTGAGGAAAAATTTGTTTACTGAAAGAGTGGTTAAACATTGGAACAGGCTGCCCAGGGAAGTGGTTGAGTCCCCATCCCTGGAAGTATT